GCCCAGCCAACAGCGAGTTGCAGTAATCCAGACAGGAGATGACAAGTGCCTGGATTAGGACCTGTGCCGCTTCCTGTGTATGGCAGGGTCGTACTCTCCGAATGTTGTAGAGCATGAACCTACAGGATAGGGTCACCGCCTTGATGTTAGCGGAGAACGACAGGGTGTTGTCCAGGGTCACGCCAAGGCTCTTCGCACTCTGGGAGGAGGACACAACGGAGTTGTCAACCGTGATGGCGAGATCATGGAACGGGCAGTCCTTCCCCAGGAGGAAGAGCAGCTCCGTCTTGCCAAGGTTCAGCTTGAGGTGGTGATCCGTCATCCATACTGATATGTCTGCCAGACATGCAGAGATGCGATTCGCCACCTGGTTATCAGAAGGGGGAAAGGAGAAGATTAGTTGTGTATCGTCAGTGTAGCAATGATAGGAGAGGCCACGTGAGGATATGACAGAGCCAAGTGACTTGGTGTATAGCGAGAATAGGAGAGGGCCTAGAACTGAGCCCTGGGGGACACCAGTGGTGAGAGCACGTGGTGCGGAGACAGCTTCTCGCCACGCCACTTGGTAGGAGTGACCGGTCATTATCATTCATGATTGACAGTGATGATGGCCTATAGGAATGCCTAACTTGGTGTTTGAGGGAATTAAAAATAGAACATTTTCTTGAGACAATATGTGTGGGCATGGGCAGATGTTCCAATTGGAGGATGCATTTATTTTATAACAGGGCTCTCCAACCCTGTTCCTGGAGAGCTACCATCCTGTAGGTTTTCATTCCAACCCTAATCTAGGCACCTGATAATAATAATTAGCTGGTTTATAAGATGGATCGGGTTAGTTACAACTGGGGTTGGAGTGAAACCCTACTGTACTGTTGGAAAGCCCTGTAATGAAAGGCTATTCAATAGGCTACATCTGTTGGTACAAACTTTGATTGAGGAAATGATGACTTCTTTACATATTTTTTTGCGCTCCCTCATCTAAAAATAAAAATAACACTACACCACTGCAAGTAAGATCTGTGGTAGGTGTGTAACCGAGGTGTCTGTATGTTGCATGTGTTCCCCGCTGGCTTCATCCATCTGAGCAGAAGCCAAAATGTAACTTTCCTGTGCTCATTACAAACAGGGTATACAAAGGACCTTGAATGACAGCACCATGGACAACCCTTCACCCGGAGACTTTGTGCAGCTATTTTGATCTGCCGCTGACCACGTTTTAGCCTTCTTCTCCATGTACATTGTGTCATAGCCTACACTTGGATTAGGCTACACTTTAATTCATTAAACTAGACTGGATTATTTTACTGCACCAGCATTGCAATCCAATGCATGCACGATTTATGCAATAAAATGAGATATATTGCAGCGCTATATTTTTGGGGCGATGCTCTACAGAAGGTTATATCAGACTGCTAATACAGGACTAGTAAAGGCCCAGTGCACTACTTTTGTGAAAAAAACATGTATTTATGGCATTATTGGTCAGCTAATACAGGACTAGTAAAGGCCCAGTGAACTACTTTCTTAAAAAAAAACTTTTTTGTCAATGTTTTTCTTTTTATATTGATTTTTCAGGTGTGTTGCAGCAACCTCAGAACCCATTACTTCCTGCGGCTATGGGCTGACATAGCCCAGTAATACAGAACCTAATATAATGGACCACATGAGAATCTCTGGTAATTTAACCTATTTCTGAAGTTATTTTGGGGCATTTGATATAGCGTATAGGGTACAAAATTGCTGGGACCATGGCTGGAAAGAGAGCTGCGTCACATACGCCTAAAATAACATTGCTGGGTTTGGGACCAGTTCTTGCGATAGCAAGGTGGGAGTTGGACATTAAGCCAGTGGGTGTGGGCGGGGTGCGGTATGAAAAGCTGCTAGTGCGGGCAGAAGCAGGATGTAGAAATTAGTTCCTGTGGTTATGACCTGTCCTGCTGCTGTGATGTAGTGGACGGTTCCTGTGGTTATGTCCTGTTCTACTGCTACCGTAATGTAGTGGACGGTTCCTGTGGTTATGTCCTACTGCTACAGTAATGTAGTGGACGGTTCCTGTGGTTATGTCCTACTGCTACAGTAATGTAGTGGACGGTTCCTGTGGTTATTTCATTCTGCTAGAGTAATGTAGTGGATTGTTCTTGTGGTTTTGTCCTGTCATTCTGCTACAGTCATGTAGTGGAAGGTTCCTGTGGTTATGTCCTGTCCCACAGTAATGTATTGGACAATTCCTGTGGTTATGTCCTGTCCTGCTCCAGTAATGTAGTGGACGGTTCCTGTGGTTATGTCATTCTGCTACAGTAATGTAGTGGGCGGTTCCTGTGGTTATGTCATTCTGCTCCAGTAATGTAGTGGACGGTTCCTGTGGTTATGTCATTCTGCTACAGTAATGTAGTGGACGGTTCCTGTGGTTATGTCCCACAGTAATGTAGAGAACAGTTCCTGTGGTTATGTCCTGTAATTCTGCTACAGTAATGTAGTGGACGGTTCCTGTGGTTATGTCCCACAGTAATGTAGAGAACAGTTCCTGTGGTTATGTCCTGTAATTCTGCTACAGTTATGTAGTGGACGGTTCCTGTGGTTATGTCCTTCTGCCACAGTGATGTTATGGACGGTTCCTGTGGTTATGGCTCCCTCTGCAGGACAGTTGAAAATAAATATCCAACCATTCTCAAGGTTGAGAAAGAGGACTGACAGGGTGAGTGAGAGGGTGACAGGACAAAGGGGGTGAGGGAGGAGTGAAAGGGTAAGGGTAAGTGAGAGGATGAGGGGGTGAGAGAGAGTGTGAGAAGGTGAGTGAGGTGTATCAGAACTTCCATTTCCCTTGAGTGTCTGCTTGTGTGACAACGATAATTGAAACCTGGGTCCATATCCACATAGTGTCTCAGAGTAGGAGTGCTGATCTAGGATCTGTCCATATAATCTTATTCAGTATGATCAGCACTCACACTCTGAAATGCTTTGTGGATACAGGTCCAGGTACACCCGATGCAGTCTGAATGTGGTGCTGTGGAGTTTGTGAGATGCTGGAGGAACAGAAACAGGAGTCATGGGAGTCAAACAAACCACACAGAGGCATGTTTAAAAGTAAAGAGCCTGTATATTATTCTGCAAAATACAAATACCATTTCATTTCATTGCCTGTGCGGGAAAATACATGTTTATTTACGTTAGCTTCCTTCCTTCCGGTGAGAAACATTTTGTCTTCAAGTGGCGACAAAGGCCTGCTTCTGCCGCTTGGAGCCTTGTAGCATCCAAACATTCACCTCAGAAAGACTGACCCCTACTCTCTGAGTGCACTACCCACTGTCATGTGGTTAGTAGTGTTATAAAGTTCACTTAAAGAACACAATCCAACATGGAGCCCATCCAGGGACCTTCACTCTGATACAGTATTGCATTATTGTACAGTCTTACATTATTTTGTTGATAATACTGACACAAAACATGAACATTATATGATTGAAGTGGATATTGCATGGAGTGGAACTATATTGATGTAATCAAATTATACAACATTCTCAGAATCACATTCAAACTATGATAATGGGTGTGGTAAATTTGAGGTACAGGTAAATAGCAGATTTTTACAGTACAGACAATTTTGATAATGAAGAAAAATAAAATAGAATGAAACAGTAGCTCTGATGAGTTAGGTGAGTAGGATAGCATCAGGCTGTTGGTTAGTCTATAACCTATTGTGGGGCTCTGCCCTCATAGTCTACTGATATCATCAATCAGTATTGTATTGTATTGCAACCTGGCAAAATAGAACAAAGGTGACTTTCAAAGTCAGAAATTGTGCTTCTATGTGGGGTTCCTATGTAATAGTAATAATATCTGACATCATATAAAACTGTCTGTAGGGAGGAGAGGCAGCCGTCCAGCTTCTGCTCCGTCTATACACGCTGACTCTGCAGTCTTAGATGACATCTCCCAGACCCAGATTAGTCCTATTCCTGGACTAACACACACTGTCAATGGAGATTCTTCATTGAGAATGCTTTTTAATCCAGGAGTAGCTTAATCTGGGTGTCGAAGCAACCCTTCCTAAATAATCTGTTATCAGGCTAAAATCAGTGGCAGGTTGAGAATCTTTAACTAAACATTTCCTGAATGTTTGAGATCGATAGAAAATATGTGCACCTGCACATAGCTACATAATAACCCCCAATAAGAAGAGAAAAACAAGGTTTTATCTATATTTTAACAATGTTGACATCCTTAATTAGGTTGAAATATAGATTTTCTAAAAACTATAAAGAGAAACCACTTGTTTGTGCAGCAAAGCATTTACTTCCCTTTTTATAATAATATGGCTTTGGGAGTTCTGTTTTAACTCACACCCCTTCCTCCCTGTGGCTTTGTCTATCTGGCAGCTGAAACAGGCATCTCTCTCTCTGTCTCTCGCACTGTAGTGTATATGACCCAGATTGTATTTGTTAGCACATGGCTCAATTGAATTAAGATTCCTAGGCGTCTTCATTTCAAGTGAGACATTGTAGTTGTCCAGGGTTCCAGCCATAGAATTAGAATGACTTCTTGATCGATCGTTATTATTCTATAGTTCCAGCTTTTTGTAACCTGTTGCATAATGTGTTTTACCCTTTCCTTCTTCTCTTTCTCCCTATCGTTGTCCTCTTTCTCTGTCTATCCCTTTCTCTTTCTCTCTCTGTCTGCCAATCCTCCCTTGTTCTTCATTTATATATACACATAAATATGTTGAACCGGCAACATGAATGGGTTGTAGTGAACACTCATATGTCTACTAGTCAGCCAGCTGCAGGCTGAGACATCAGGGCCTAGGTAGCACGCTCGCACGCACGCACCCTGACGTGTCCACTCACAGTGCTTGTCCTTGTGTCTCCTAGTATATTACTGACTCACCAGTATCTTATCCATACAGAGTGCCAGACTTCTTCAACCTTTACTGATTCCCTCCCTCCCTCCCACAAACACACAACACAAGCAACACACCTCCCACCCCCCCACACTGACTCCCCCACACCATATCCACCCTCACTCCTGTATATATCACTGGTTGTCTCAAATCACTCCCTACGTGGGCAATAGCATGCCATTTCAGACCCAGTCTATGTCACTGTTATATTCCCTCCACACTCCTGTATATAATGTCCCTGTTATAGTGGAACACTCTCACTCTGCACAAGAAGAATATAGGGCAAATCTGAAATCGCACCCTATTCCCTATAAAGTGCACTACTTTTGGCATAGGGAATATGGTGCCATTTTGGACACAGGCTTAATAATAGTCATAATAGCAATAAAGGTAAGTCTACACAAGCCCCTCCCCCTCTGTGAATCAGAGGTGGCCTTATCATCTAGCCCAGCATTCTGATAGGCGCATTCGTTTGAGGGACGGGCTGTGGCGCTCCTCCTGATTGGACATCGGGCATAACAGGAAGTTGTCGTTTCCGCGGTGATCCTCGCGTTCACTGCCGTCGTATGAGCTGCCACAGCTGGATAGGCTGTCGCCAGGAGACTGCCCTGCCTCTGCCGGGCACTGATATGTTGGGTAGCCATGGGACACGCCCCCCATCCCTCCGCTATCAAATCCGATGCCTCGATCTCTGGGCGGGGAGGCGGGCTCTGACTTGATGTAGAGGTTCTGATGGACATTCTGGAGGTTAAGGTTGGAGTTCTGACAAAGGTTTCTGACAGAGGAGAGGAGAGATAGTGATTAGAAAGAGGAAGAGGAAATACACACACACACAAACACAGACAGACAGACACCCTTACCCCATGTGTCCTAGTGCTGAGTGCTGAATATTCTGTAGCGATTGTTGCTGCCAGCCTGTTACTGATCCCAGGTGGAGAGATCCTGAGCTGTTACCAAACCCTGACAGGTCACCCAGAGAGTACTCTGCAGAGAGGGAGTGATAGAGAGAGGGAGGGATAGAGAGGGGGGAGGGGGTGAGAGAGGGGGGGGAGATAGAGAGAGGGGGTGAGAGGGAGGGGGTAGGGAGAGGTACGAGGGGGGGGAGCGGGGATAGAGAGAGGGGGGAGAGTCTGGAGGGATGAGAGAGGGGGGGGAGAGGGGAGGGATAGGAGGGGGGAGATGGAGGGGAGGGATGAGAGAGGGAGGATGGAGAGAGGGGGGAGGGGAAGGCGAGGGGAGGGTCCTTTGAGGGGGAACAGGAGAGGAGGGAAAGAAGAGGGGATAGAGAGAGGGAGGATAGAGAGAGGGAGGGATAGAGAGAGGGGGAGAGGAGGGAGGGATGGGAGAGGAGGGGGAGAGAGAGGGGAGGGATAGAGAGAGGGAGAGGGATGAGTAGAGAGGGAGGGATAGAGAGGAGGATAGAGAGAGGGGGAGGAGAGGGAGGGAGGGATAGAGAGAGGGATGAGGGGATAGAGAGAGGGAGGGATAAGGAGGGGAGGAGAGGGAGAGGAGGGAGAGAGAGGGAGGGATAGAGAGGGAGGGAGGGGAGTGTGAGGGATAGAGGAGGGAGGGAGAGAAGAGGGGAGGATGAGAGGGGGGAAGAGAGAGGGAGGGATAGAGAGAGGGAGGGATAGGAGAGAGGGATAGAGTGAGGGGGAGAGGGGGGATAGAGAGAGGGAGGGATAGAGAGAGGGAGGGATAGAGAGAGGGGGGGGAGAGGGAGGGAGGAGAGGGAGGGATAGAGAGAGAGGGAGGGATAGAGAGAGGGGGAGAGGGAGGGATAGAGAGAGGGAGGGATAGAGAGAGGGAGGGAGGGAGGGAGGGGGAGGGACAAAGGTTACACACCTTGGGCAAATCTGAAATGACTTCTTCCTATTCCCTATAAGAGCGCTACTTTTGGTCAGAGATGCTCTGAGGAGCTGTGGTCACTGTCCAGAAGAGATTAGATTAGATTAGTTTATTAGTCACATGCACGGGGTTGCAGATGCAATTGCAGGGTACAGTGAAATCGAATGTCCCCGAGGGAAAGTCCATAGATGGAGCAGCAAGGGGGGAAGTGAGAAGTGAATGAAACAATAATAAAATAATAATACATATTTACAGAAGAGGGAGTGGTAGAAGAGGGAGTGGTAGAAGACAAGTGGTAGAAGACGGAGTGGTAGAAGACGGAGTGGTAGAAGACGGAGTGGTAGAAGACGGAGTGGTAGAAGAGGGAGTGGTAGAAGACGTGATAGAAGACGGATGGTGAACGGAGTGGTAGAAGACGGAGTGGTAGAAGACGGAGTGGTAGAAAGGAGTGGTAGAAGACGGAGTGGTTAGAAAGGGAGTGGTAGAAGACGGAGTGGTAGAAGACGGAGTGGTAGAAGACGAGTGGAAAGCGTGGTAGAAGACGGGAGTGGTAGAAGACGGATGGAAGTGGTAGAAGAGGAGTGGTAGAGAGGTAGGTGGTAGAAACGGAGTGGTAGAAGACGGAGTGGGTAAAGAGGGTGTAGAAGACGGGAGTGGTAGAAGAGGAGTGGTAGAAGACGGAGTGGTAGAAGACGGAGTGGTAGAAGACGGAGTGGTAGAAGACGGAGTGGTAGAAGAGGAGTGGTAGAAGACGGTGGTAGAAGACGGAGTGGTAGAAGACGGAGTGGTAGAAGACGGAGTGGTAGAAGACGGGAGTGGTAGAAGACGGAGTGGTAGAAGACGGATGGTAAGAGGATGGTAGAAGACGGAGTGGTAAAACGAGTGTAGAGACGAGTGGAGAAACGGAGTGGTAGAAGACGGAGTGGTAGAAGACGGAGTGGTAGAAGACGGAGTGGTAGAAGACGGAGTGGTAGAAGACGGAGTGGTAGAAGACGGAGTGGTAGAAGACGGAGTGGTAGAAGACGGAGTGGTAGAAGACGGAGTGGTAGAAACGGAGTGGTAGAAGACGGAGTGGTAGAAGACGGGTTAGAACGGGTTTAGAAGAGGTGAGGGGGTAGAAAAAGTGGTAGAAGACGGAGTGGTAGAAGACGGAGTGGTAGAAGAGGGAGTGGTAGAAGAGGGAGTGGTAGAAGAGGGAGTGGTAGAAGACGGAGTGGTAGAAGACGGAGTGGTAGAAGAGGGAGTGGTAGAAGATGGAGTGCCTACCTGTGCCATATGAGGTGGAGAGGGCAGAGGGGTACCCTCCCATGCCCTGCCCGGGCAGAGTAGATGTTGCTATGGAGACCACGGGAGTAGCCAATGTCTGGGCAGACTGGGAGTGGTTTATTCTCTGGTTCTGAAACAACAAAATAATAAACAAACATTAGTACACTTGTAGCTAGAAGGATTTGGGTCTATATCTCATTCTAGACATAAACAGATATTCAGTGTAGCTACTCCACATTGTCCATCTGTGTGATGTCACACTACTTACCAGCATCATGTCAAAATCCTCACACTGGCAGCATGAAAAACAATACAACTCATATTAGAGTACGGAGGGAGTTAGAGTCAGAGGAACTGTGTAGGAGTCAGGAATGTTCTAACTGTCTCAGGGGAGATGGAGGGAGGAGATAGACAGAGATGGAGAAAGAGGAGATCACTCACGATGGAGGGCATGTTGTTCTTGTTGCCAGGGGGCAGCAGCGTGCAGAGGTCCGGCTTGCGGTTACAACTCAGGGTCATGGAGTTAATCGGGGGCGGAGTTTTGGCCTGAATGCCTTTGGCCATGCTTCCCGGAGACAGCAGCCCCGGGGAGTTACGGTGGTTACCATAGTTACTGTTACCTAGGAGACGGATGGACAGGAGAATACTGTATGTTTTTCTTGTTTAACCTGGGAGGTCACATTGAAACTAGAATAATAATAGGCCTAATAACATTTACATGATCAATGCATCAGACATTAGAAAAGACTGCATGTACAGTAACTAGCATAGTTAACTCACCAGCGTTGGAGACAGTGTTAGACAGCTCTGAACCCATCATCCCTCCTGCGTTTCCAGCACTGGGGGGTCGGTGTGTGTGTTGGGGTCCAGGCGACATGCTGTTTCTCTGCAGGCCAGGGTGTGTGTGGGAAAAGGGCAGAAGATTGTGGTTACACAAGGATCCCCCCGCCCCGGGGTGAGAGTAGAGTAGTCCACTGTTGTTTTGGCTCTGGATGGAGCCAACCATGTCGTAGTTAAGCGGGGGGAGAGCCTGCTGGACAGAGACAGACACCAGGGTTAGCAAGGCAAATGGAGAAGTGGAACAGGCAGGAGTGGACACACACAGGTCCAGTTAGTACTTACACAGAGTCTCTGTGTGCTGATCATGAGGTCAATGTCTTCATTGATCTTGCGGTATTTGTCCTCTGACTCGGGGCTCTGACCAGCAGAGTCGTCTGCCTCGATGTCGGGACTGTCACAACCATTAAGACCCTTCTTACGCAGAGTCTGAGAGAGACAGACACAGAGAGCGAGAGAGAGAACACACAAAGTTGATGATACTCTCCAAATGGCTTGACAGTCTGTTACTGCTACTTTTACAAAAGCATAGTCAGTGAATAAAGCACAACAGTTATTCTAAAGGCCACATGTGCATGGCAGACCCCTGAAGAGTTGTAGTCTCCTTTTCTACCACCAAGAGGGGCTATTGGAGCAGAAATAGCATCCTCAAAAGACCACCTGGCAGATAGATCCTCTAATTGAACACCAGTATGAGAGGAGGAGAGAGGGAGGGTAGACATAGTGACAGAGAAAGAAAGTATTGTAAATAGAGGGGGTGAAAGAGAGGGGGTGGTAGACATAGATTTAGAGAGATGAGAGTAGAAAAGATGGGGGAGAGAGAGAGGGAGTGTAGAGTGGAGAGAGTAGGCCTCTCTTATCACTGCTGATATTGTCCATGGAGCTGTGATGCTTTCCCCTAGTGTGTGTGTGTGTGTGTATTTGTGTGCATGCGCATCATCAGACGATGTATATGTACTGTATGCAGTTTGGCTCAACACTGTCCTGTCTCAGCACTTTACAGCCTAGCACCGGCCTATCACTAGACCACTACAGCTATCACACACACACACACACACACACACACACACACACACACACACACACACACACACACACACACACACACACACACACACACACACACACACACACACACACACACACACACACACACACACACACACACACACACACACACGCTGGCTCAGCACTGCTATGCCACTCATCCCAGTTATGCCCACCTGTCACTGGACAACACAGGGATGGGGGAGTGGCAGAACCCAGGTTTAGCAGCCCTGTGTCTGAGGGATGTCCGTACAAGGCTATTTTTTGCCTCTGTGGCACCCAGAGCACCCCTCGTTTCCAGTCCCCACCCCCACCCACCATCTCTCTCACCCCCACTACCCCTTCTTTATCTCTTTCATGCCCACTCCCTCCCCCCACACCTCTCTCTCTACCCCATAATCACACCATCCATGTCCATGACTGACAAAAAACATATCAGCAACACAACAACAAAATGACAGTAGACATGAAAATGAAGAACATGAAGAACTCTTACACTTTATTTCAGAATACATGACTCTCCATACCGTGGCTCTACACAGAGCCCTGGCCTACACAGACCTACACAGAGCCCTGGCCTACACAGACCTACACAGAGCCCTGGCCTACATAGACCTACACAGAGCCCTGGCCTACACAGCCCTACACAGAGCCCTGGCCTACACATAGCCCTGGCCTACACAGAGCCCTGGCCTACACAGACCTACACAGCCCTATACAGAGCCCTGCCCTACACAGCCCTACACATCATGCAATGTGTAACCTTGAGAGCAGCATGTGTGTGTGGTGAGAGAGTTGTGTATTTGCGCACGCATGTGTGTGTGTGTGTGTGTGTGTGTGTGTGTGTGTGTGTGTGTGTGTGTGTGTGTGTGTGTGTGTGTGTGTGTGTGTGTGTGTGTGTGTGTGTGTGTGGTGAGAGGTGAAGGTAGCAGGTGGTTGAGTGGGCAGCTGACTGAAGGTGCTCAGAGAAGAAGACAACTAAGAGAAAGAGGGAGAGAGAAGGAGAGAGAAAAAGAGAGAGGAGGGGAGTGAAGGAGAGAGAGGAGAGGGAGGGAAAGAGATAGAGAGAGAGAAAAAGATAGAGAGAAGGAGAGAAATAATTAGATAGAGACAAAGAAAGGCAGGAGAGAAAGAGAAAGACAAAATAAGAACGAGAGAGCGAGAGAGACAGAGCGAGAGAGAGAGCGAGAGAGAGAGAGAGAGAGAGAGAGAGAGAGCGAGAGAGAGAGAGAGAGAGAGAACTGAACCCCCATATCTCCATTCCAAGCCACCCTCAACTGTCTACAATCTCTCTCTCATTTTTCTCCTCTACTCCTTGTTGTTCTTCCTGGGTGGTCTGGTCTCCTAGCCATTTCCATATCAATTAGAGTGTGTTGCCTTTACAAGGGCACAGAGTGCGAGGCAGCAGCTCCTCTCCGTGTGCCAAGGAACATGACGTGCACCTCTCACATCTCACCTCTCCTGCCCTAACAGGCGGACATTTCTACCACTCACACACAAAGTATGTAGTCGTGTGGTCATACACTACATAGCCAAAAGTATGTGGACATCCCTTCAAATTAGTGGATTCAGCCATTTCAGCCACAACCGTTGCTGACAGGTGTATAAAATTGAGCACACCGCCATGCAATCTCCATAGACAAACATTGGCAGTAGGATGTCTCGTACTGAAGAGCTCAGTGACTTTCAACATGGCACCGTCATAGGATGCCACCTTTCTAACAAGTCAGTTCGTCAAATTTCTGCCCTGCTAGAGCTGCCCCGGTCAACTAAAAGTGCTGTTATTGTGAAGTGGAAATGGCTAGGACAACAACGGCTCAGCCGCAAAGTGGTAGGCCACACAAGCTCACAGAACGGGACCGCCAAGTGCTGAAGCACGTAGCGCATACAAATCGTCTGTCCTCGGTTGCAACACCCATTACCGAGTTCCAAACTGCCTCCATAAGCAATGTCAGCACAAGAACTGTTCGTCGGGAGCTTCATGAAATGGGTTTCCATGGCCGAGCAACCACACACAAGCCTAACATCACCATGCGAAATGCCAAGCGTCGGCTGGAGTGGTGTAAAGCTCGCCGCCATTGGACTCTGGAGCAGTGGAAATGCGTTCTCTGGAGTGATGAATCACGCTTCACCATCTGGCAGGCCTACGGATAAATCTGGGTTTGGCGGATGCGACCCTAAGCACACAGCTAAGACAACGCAGTAGTGGCTTTGGGACAAATCTCTGAATGTCCTTGAGTGGCCCAGCCAGAGTCCGGACTTGAACCCTCTCTGGAGAGACCTGAAAATAGCTGTGGAACGACGCTCCCCATCCAACCTGACAGAGCTTGAGAGGAGCTGCAGAGAAGAATGGAAGAAATTCCCCAAATACAGGTGTGCCAAACTTGTAGAGTCATACCCAAGAAGACTTGAGGCTGTAATCGCTGCCAAAGGTGCTTCAACAAAGTACTGAGTAAAGGGTCTGAAAACGTATGTAAATATGAAATTGTATTCATTTATTTTTTTATACATTTGCCTACATTTCTAAAAACCTGTTTTTGTTTTGTCATTTTCGGGGTATTATGTGTAGATTGATGAGGCTGTAACGTAATAACAAAATGTGGAAAAAGTCAAGGGTCTTAATCCTTTCCAAATGCACTGTCCATGCAAATATCTTCGCCACACACCCCTCCCATTCTTCTTGTCTGAACATTTAAAACTATACTCAAGACACATTATCTTCACACATGTTTTAGATTAATTGCTTTTCGCTGACATCCGCATCTCAATACTCAGCTAGGCCTCTGACCATGTGCGCTGCCCAAATTGCGGGCTTCCCAAATAGGCATATAGGCCTACACGCTTGTGATTTGAAACAATCCACAACTTTCAAATAAGTTAATGATGCTCTGTGGCTAAGTCATGCTCTCTGGTGAAGTATTTAGAATGATTGTATTTATTTCTGTATAGACTGGAGTAATTAGGCATATATAATTTTGGCACATTTATTTCAATTTACTTTAGGCTGCAGTGACTACTGTTATGTCATGTCCTATGCTTAGGCTACTCATCACATTAGGAATCATATTTTATTGTTAGCCTGCAAATACGTTTATTATAATGGGGATTTTTTTTACCTCCCCCATCATTCCACTAAAACACACTCACATCCCACCGAGGCTATTCTTAGCCACAGCAGTCTATTGTTAGCCTGCTGCCATTTTCCAAGCGGTGAACAGGGAGAGATCGGTTACACAAAGAAAGCTGGAGTTACACTTGGACTGTGTGTGTGTTCTATTTGATAAGCCTTACTGAGAGCTTCAGCTGTTTTCAATCTACGACACAGACACACACACACCACAGAATGGAGCGAAATAGGGTTAGTAGAAGAGGGGTGAAGAATGCAGACGTTCTTAGAGTTATAAACAGCCATTATCCTGGGCCTCCTGCACCATATACAACAAACTCAAATACAGCACACTGTGCTCGAACACACACACACCTCGTTATGGAAAGAAAACAACCCAGACAAAGGAGTGTCTCTTCTGCTCCATTCCTGTCAGGAAGATAGTTTCACAGCTAGGTCATCTTTGACCATGTGTATCAATACAGAGACAGGGGCTGTGTGCGATGCTGAAAAATATACAGGTACAGTGGGGAGAACAAGTATTTGATACACTGCCGATTTTGCAGGTTTTCCTACTTACAAAGCATGTAGAGGTCTGTAATTTTTATCATAGGTACACTTCAACTGTGAGAGACGGAATCTAAAACAAAAATCCAGAAAATCACATTGTATGATTTTTAAGTAATTAATTTGCATTTTATTGCATGACATAAGTATTTGATACATCAGAAAAGCAGAACTTAATATTTGGTACAGAAACCTTTGTTTGCAATTACAGAGATCATACGTTTCCTGTAGGTCTTGACCAGGTTTGCACACACTGCAGCAGGGATTTTGGCCCACTCCATACAGACCTTCTCCAGATCCTTCAGGTTTCGGGGCTGTTGCTGGGCAATACGGACTTTCAGCTCCCTCCAAAGATTTTCTATTGGATTCAGGTCTGGAGACTGGCTAGGCCACTCCAGGACCTTGAGATGCTTCTTACGGAGCCACTCCTTAGTTGCCCTGGCTGTGTGTTTCGGGTCGTTGTCATGCTGGAAGACCCAGCCACGACCCATCTTCAATGCTCTTACTGAGGGAAGGAGGTTGTTGGCCAAGATCTTGCGATATATGCCCCATCCATCCTTCCCTCAATACGGTGCAGTCGTCCTGTCCCCTTTGCAGAAAAGCATCCCCAAAGAATGATGTTTCCACCTCCATGCTTCACGGTTGGGATGGTGTTCTTGGGGTTGTACTCATCCTTCTTCTTCCTCCAAACAACAGCGAGTGGAGTTTCGAACAAAAAGCTCTATTTTTGTCTTATCAGACCACATGACCTTCTCCAATTCCTCCTCTGGATCATCCAGATGGTTATTGGCAAACTTCAGACGGGCCTGGACATGCGCTGGCTTGAGCAGGGGGACCTTGCGTGCGCTGCAGGATTGTAATCCATGACGGCGTAGTGTGTTACTAATGGTTTTCTTTGAGACTGTGGTCCCAGCTCTCTTCAGGTCATTGACCAGGTCCTGCCGTGTAGTTCTGGGCTGATCCCTCACCTTCCTCATGATCATTGATGCCCCACGAGGTGAGATCTTGCATGGAGCCCCAGACCGAGGGTGATTGACCGTCATCTTGAACTTCTTCCATTTTCTAATAATTGCGCCAACAGTTGTTGCCTTCTCACCAAGCTGCTTGCCTATTGTCCTGTAGCCCATCCCAGCCTTGTGCAGGTCTACAATTGTATCCCTGATGTCCTTACACAGCTCTCTGGTCTTGGTCATTGTGGAGAGGTTGGAGGCTGTTTGATTGAGTGTGTGGACAGGTGTCTTTTATACAGGTAACGAGTTCAAACAGGTGCAGTTAATACAGGTAATGAGTGGAGAACAGGAGGGCTTCTTAAAGAAAAACTAACAGGTCTGTGAGAGCCGGAATTCTTACTGGTTGGTAGGTGATCAAATACTTATGTCATGCAATAAAATGAAAATTAATTACTTAAAAATCATACAATGTGATTTTCTGGATTTTTGTTTTAGATTCCGTCTCTCACAGTTGAAGTGTACCTATGATAAAAATTACAGACCTCTACATGCTTTGTAAGTAGGAAAACCTGCAAAATCGGCAGTGTATCAAATACTTGTTCTCCCCACTGTATGTTGTTATAGAGGAGGACCAGCACTTAGAAAGTGATTACCAATTTATGAATGACAGAACACCCTCCAGAAAAATTACTGAGTTGGGATTAGTTTTGTAATTTTAGTTGAGCACTGTTTCTGTGGTGTAAACCAAGTGAATTAGGTAAACAGCACATGTGCAGGTAAAAACATTTAAAGGAACCAACAACACACACACACCTCATAGCCACAATAACTTTACAATCTCTGTGGTAAAGAGGTTCAGAGCTGGAGGGGAAACCAGTCAGTTACAATGACTGGTAATGTCAAGACTGAACTAAGCAAAAACAGTGGAGTTAGAGAGATGGAGGGATGGGGAGAGTATGTGGAAAGGAGAGGGAGGGAGAGAGAGGTAGATACTTCCAAGACTGAGCACAAACAATCTGGAAGGAAATAAATATAGGGAGAGGGGGAAGGAGATGGAGAGAGGGAGAGATAGAAAGGCTTGAATGTGAGAGGGGAGAGAGATAGAGTGAGAGAAGGAAGAGGAGAGAAGGAAAGGGACAGAGGAGGAAAAGACCCATCATTTATCTGTCTTCCAGAAGACGCCTACACACTATGGGGTCACCAGGTCAGCCAGGAAAAGAGGGAGGGAAGGAAATAGAGGAGGAGGGATGGGCAGAGGAGAGGAGAGGAAGTTTGTTGAGAGGGATGAGGAAGAGCATATTGAGTTTACAGTAATGAGTGTGACGGGATTATGGTAGATTAAAGATTAACATAGATTATATGCTGCTCCTGGTGGGGCTAGCTGACTGACCATGAAGTGAGCCTTGTGGGGGACAGGTGGATAGGGAGACCTGACCCTTCATCACAACATCAGCTATCAGGCCAGAACCACCACCTTATAGACCTCTGGCATACAGTATCAACCACATGACCACAGACTAAATGTGAAATACTGTGGAATATTTTAGCTGTGCTTGATTGATTTAGTTTGCCTGGTTTACAATGGAACCAATGGAATATTCCCAAAACTGGGCTGCATATCTTACTTTCCACATTCCCACACACAAACATCCCCATCCCCCTCTGCACTCTACCAAACTCAGCCCGTTTTTCCCACTACTCCCAATGGGAGGCTCATGGCCTGTGTTGGAACACACTTCATTCACAGGAAGACCACAACCACTGTCCTCAAGCCGCTACAGATTCCCATCAGCGATCCAGAGACAAAATCCAACGCACCTGTTCTTTGAACTCTGATCCCTAACCCCTGACCCCTAACCTCGGTCAAATTGACCATGGTCCAATGGGTGGCCCTGAAGAGGGTTGAATGGGGACGTTGGACGTGTGTGTGGGGACACCTGCCTTGTTCTCCTAACACCATTGCATAACTCCAGGCTGGCCGACTGAGACTCAGCCCTGCACACATTAGCCTCCCTGAGCTCTGAGTCCTGAGCCAAACACACACATGGACCTGAGTACTGTATGTCACAAAACACACAACAGCAGCAGCACACTATATGTATTCCACTAACTGTTCATTCAACAAACTGAAGTTTTGACCTGTGAAGCCATGTTGGTGAACTAGTCTGCAATACACTGTGTGTGGGACTCACTTCCACGATGTCAGAGTTAGTCCTGCTCTCGTGAGGGTCGTTGTACTCAGTGTATTTGAGCAGGACCTTGTCCATGTCAGTGCTGGCGTACTGGAACAGCTTGTTGGTGCTGTTGAAGATGATGAGGGCGATCTCACAGTTGCACAGCACACTCAGCTCATACGCCTTCTTCATCAGGCCAAACTTCCTCTTGGTGAATGTCACCTGGAGAGGGAGGGGAAGAGAGAGAGAGAGAGAGAGAGAGAGAGAGAGAGAGAGAGAGAGAGAGAGAGAGAGAGAAAGAGAGAGAGAGAGAGAGAGAGAGAAGGCAGTGAGATACATGAGTGAGAATACACATTGTACAGTATATACAGTGCCATCAGAAAGTATTCACACCCCTTGACTTATTCCACATTTTGTTGTGTTGCAGCCGGAATTAAAATTGATTAAATGTTTATTTTTTCTCACCAATGTACACACAATACCCCATAATGACAAAGTGAAAACATGTTTTTAGAAATGTTAGCAAATTGATGGAAAAAAAACAAATATCTCATTTACAAAAGTATTCACACCCCTGAGTCAAAACATGTTAGTATCACCTTTGGCAGTGATTACAGCCGTGAATCTTTCTGGGTACGTCTTTAAGAGCTTTGCACACCTAGATTGAACAATATTTGCCCATTTTTCTTTTCAAAATTCTTCAAGCTCTGTCAAATTGTTTGTTGATCATTGCTAGACAACCATTTTCAAGTCTTGCCATATATTTTCAAGCAGATTTAAGTCAAAACTGTAACTTGCCCACTAAGGAACATTCATTGTCTTCTTGGTAAGCAACTCCAGTGTAGATTTGGCCTTGTGTTTTAAGTTATTGTCCTGCTGAAAGGTGAATTCATCTCCCAGTGTCTGGTGGAAAACAGACTCAACCAGGTTTTCCTCTAGGATTTTGCCTGCGCTTAGCTCCATTCCGTTTATTTCTTATCCTGAAAAACTCCCGTCCTTAACGATTACATGCATACCCATAACATGATGCAGCCACCACTATGCTTGAAAATATGAAGAGTGGTACTCAGTAATGTGTTGTATTGGATTTGCCCCAAACATAACACTTTGTATTCAGGACAAAAAGGTAATTGCTTTGCCACATTTTTTGCAGTATTACTTTAGTGCCTTGTTTCAAACATGATGCATGTTTTGGAATATTTGTATTCTGTACAGGCTTCCTTCTTTTCACTCTGTCAATTAGGTTAGTATTGTGGAGTAACTACAATGTTTTTTTATCCATCCTCAGTTTTCTCCTATCACAGCTTTTAAAAACTCTGTAATTGTTTTAAAGTCACCATTGGCCTCATGGTCAAATCCCTGAGCGGTGTCCATCCTCTCCGGCACCTGAGTTAGGAAGGACGCCTGTATCTTTGTAGTGACTGGGTGTATTGATACACCAGCCAAAGTGTAATTAATAACTTCACCATGCTTAAAGGGATATTCTATCTATCAATAGGTTTCCTTCTTTGCGAGGCATTGTAAACTTCCCTGATCTTTGTGGTTGAATCTGTGTTGGAAATTCACTGCTCGGCTGAGGGGCCTTACCTAGTCATGTTAACATTTCGATATAATCTAATTATGGAGGCTGAAGCCCTTGGCCATTACTGCTTAACTTGAGACTGACTGTAAGTCACAATCACATTATGATTCATAGATTTGGCACAGAACCACTGTCTCTATTACAATGTCACAATCAGGACACTGGGGAAGAAATGTGAGGCTGGTCACTGTACGGATAACCACACACACACACACACACACACACATACACACACACACACATACACAATAACACACACAATAACACACACAGAGGACAGAGAGAACAGGGAGGTCATCCCAGCTCTAGGGGTCAGGAAGCACATGTTAGTGCATTTCCTGTCATAACAGGAAGAGAGGAACCACTGCCCCACTACACACACCTCACAATGACTCCGTCTCTACTTCCTGCCCACCTAGTTGTCTGCAGGTGTGGGAGTGCTGGGGCTTGTGTGTGTATGTATGTGTGACAATTATTCTGAGAAAGCTCACACACGATTAAGCACAAGCTGAAGTGTATGTGTGTGTGTTCATTTACCTGTCTGTTGCGTTCATCCATAATCCGTGCTATCTGGATCTTTTTTCTCCCCATCGTCTCTCCTTCTCTTTCTCTCCTATCCCAAAAGTCTGTTCTTCTTCTCTTCTCTTCCGAATCCTCACAGCAGTATTCTCTCTATTCTCCTCTCAATTCCTCCTTAAAGAGACAGCAGTTAAAACGTCATCAAACACACATCCTTGTGGAGCAGTCATAGAGAATGGTTCAACTATGTTTGTGTATAAGTAAAGAGTTGATCATTCAACAGGTTGACCTGAGAGAGGATAATGACTCACAGTTCAAAACACCACATCTCATTCATAACCAGAGAGATGGCATTTGCTTCCCACTAAAGAAATTCAAGATAGAAAAACATGGCACAAGAAAAAATATTTATATTCGATTCATGCTACAGAATATTATGAGAAATGATATGTTAGTGTTGTTGGCTTGACTTTACTGTCTGCTACATGATGTCCCAAAACCCTGTTTGCATTTGACATCACATCATATTCAATAAGAATGTTGACATCACATCATATTCTATTAGAATGTTGACATCACATCATATTCTATTAGAATGTTGACATCACATCATATTCTATAAGAATGTTGACATCACATCATATTCTATTAGAATGTTGACATCACATCATATTCTATTAGAATGTTGACATCACATCATATTCTATTAGAATGTTGACATCACATCATATTCTATTAGAATGTTGACATCACATCATATTCTATAAGAATGTTGACATCACATCATATTCTATTAGAATGTTGACATCACATCATATTCTATAAGAATGTTGACATCACATCATATTCTATTAGAATGTTGACATCACATCATATTCTATTAGAATGTTGACATCATATTCTATTAGAATGTTGACATCACATCATATTCTATTAGAATGTTGACATTTACATCCTTTCTCCATCCAAAACACATCCAGCACAGTACAGGTCCAGGTGAGGAGTCCTATTTGTTGTCACCTGTCACCCGTGCCTTGTGTGACTTGGCCCAAAGGATCTGAAGGATTCAGTCTGCAGCTTATTGTGTAAGACTAAGCCACTGCGGGTCACACACACGCACGCATACACACACACACTCGCACACACACCCCTAATCGAGCACACGTGAGTTTACAGGAGGTCCCCCCTCCCCTAATCCATGACCACTGACCTCTAACCCCTAATCTTTATAATAATAATATAATATGCCATTTAGCAGACGCTTTTATCCAAAGCGACTTACAGTCATGCGTGCATAATTATTTAATTTTTTTGTGTATGGGTGGTCCCGGGGATCGAACCCACTACCTTGGCGTTACAAGCGCCGTGCTCTACCAGCTTACCACTTATCTTGACCCCTAGCCTTATCTCTATTATAACCTATTGACATATACATTGTAATTACTATGGGGGGAGGAGAGAGAGAGAGAAACCAGGTCCAGTATCCTCTGAAGGGAGTGAGTGTGCCATATTCTCTCCTCATTCCTCCATCACTCCGTCTGTTAATCAGGCTTCTGTCTCTCATGAGGAAACAGAGAGAATGAGAGATAAGAAAACTAGACCACTGAAGAAATGGAGGGCGATGCAGTGTATTTCAAACAGAAAACGATAACTCATATGTTAAACTTCTGTGTGTGTGTGAGTGTGGGTGTGAGTGTGAGTGTGAGTGTGAGTGTGAGTGTGAGTGTGAGTGTGAGTGTGAGTGTGAGTGTGAGTGTGAGTGTGAGTGTGAGTGTGAGTGTGAGTTTGTGTGTGAGTGTGTGTGAGTGTGTGTGTGTGTGTGTGTGTGCATCCTGCTGACTCCCTGGCCTATAGGCTCTTTAAGATCCTCTTAAGTAGCTAGACACAGGTAGAGCCAACATGGCTTATTGCTTTGGCAATGTTAACATACGTTTCCCATGCCAATAAAGCCCTTAAATTGAAATTGAAATTGAATTGAATTGAGAGAGAGAGACAGAGAGAGACAGAGACAGAGACAGAGACAGAGATAGAGAGAGAGAGAGAGAGAGAGAGAGAGAGAGAGAGAGAGAGAGAGAGAGAGAGATCACAGGTTTGTCGATGACATGACAACGAGTAAGGAGTTGCCTAAAGCTAGGGCTGGGTGGTATACCGTATTTTACGATATACCGGTATTGATTCACGGACCGGTTTGGGTTTTTACTTTACCTTCTATAACAGTATTTGAATGTTTGGTTTGTTAAATGTGATATGTCGTGTGTAACGTCCATTTTTATAGTTTATTTCACTACTTGAGTCATCTTTTTCCGCTCTCTCCGTGCCGCTTTCTACACAGACCTAGCCCGACCCCGTCAATCAAGGAGCGCATTTGTTGTTCCTCGACCACGAGACACTTGCGTTCAGTCTGCATGGTCAATGCAGCACATGCATAAAAGTTGATAACAATGACGCAGTTTTCAGTTTTTAATATAAATCCACTAGCTTTATATAATTACATTATTATTTTGTGTTTCTTACATCTGCAAACAGCTCATTTGTCTTTTCTTAGCAAGTTGGGCCTAAATCGCTAATGCTAGTTGCTAGCTCAAATAAAATAAAATTGTATTGGTCACATACACGTGTTTAGTAGATGTTATTGCGGGTGTAGCGAAATGCTTGTGTTTCTAGCTCCGACAGTGCAGTAATATCTAACAAGTAATATCTAACAATTTCACAACATATACCCAATACACACAAATCTAAGTAAAACAATGGAATTAAGAATATATAAATATATGGAAGAGCAATGTCAGAGCGGCATGGACTAAGATACAGTAGAATAGTATAGAATACAGTATATACATATGAGATGAGTAATGCTGATATGTAAACATTATTAAAGTGACTAGTGTTCTATTTATTAAAGTGGCCAGTGATTTCTAATCTATGTATATAGGCAGCAGCCTCTAATGTGCTAGTGAAGGCTATTTAACAGTCTGATGGCCTTGAGATAGAAGCTGTTTTTCAGTCTCTCGGTCCCAGCTTTGATGCACCTGTACTGACCTCGCCTTCTGGATGATAGCGGGGTGAACAGGCAGTGGCTCGGGTGGTTGTTGTCCTTGATTATCTTTTTGGCCTTCCTGTGACATCGGGTGCTGTAGGTGTCCTGGAGGGCAGGCAGTGTGCCCCCGGTGATGCGTTGGGCAGACCGCACCACCCTTTGGAGAGCCCTGCGGTTGCGGGCGGTGCAGTTGCCGTACTAGGCGGTGATACAGCACGACAGGATGCTCACAATTGTGCATCTGTAAAAGTTTGTGAGGGTTTTAGGTGCCAAGCCAAATGTCTTCAGCCTCCTGAGGTTGAAGAGGCTCTGTTGCGCCTTCTTCACCACACTGTCTGTGTGGGTGGACCATTTCAGTTTGTCAGTGATGGGTACGCCAAGGAACTTTCCACCTTCTCTACTGCAGTCCCGTCGATGTGTATAGGGGGGTGCACCCTCTGCTGTTTCCTGACGTCCACGATCATCTCCTTTGTTTTGTTGACGTTGAGTGAGAGGTTATTTTCCTGGCACCACACTCCCAGAGCCCTCACCTCCTCTCTGTAGGCTGTCTCGTCATTGTTGGTTATCAAGCCTACTGCTGTTGTGTCGTCTGCAAACTTGATGATTGAGGAGGGAGCTGAGCACGCACCCTTGTGGGGCCCCAGTGTTGAGGATCAGCGAAGTGGAGGTGTTGTTTCCTACCTTCACCACCTGGGGGCGGCCCGTCAGGAAGTCCAGGACCCAGTTGCACAGGGCGGGTTCAGACCCTGGGCCTCTAGCTTAATGATGAGCTTGGAGGGTACTATGGTGTTGAATGCTGAGCTATAGTCAATGAACAGCATTCTTACATAGGTATTCATCTTGTACAGAAGTGAGTGCTATGGGGCGATAGTCATTTAGTTCAGTTACCTTTGCTTTCTTGGGTACAGGGACAATGGTGTCCATCTTGAAGCATGTGGGGACAGCAGACTGGGATAGGGAGAGATTGAATATTCAGCTGGTCTGCGCATGCTCTGAGGACGCGGTAAGGGATGCCATCGGGGCCGGCAGCCTTGCGAGGGTTAACACGCTTAAATGTCTTACTCACGTCGTCCACGGAGAACGAGAGCCCACAGTCCTTGGTAGTGGGCCACGTCGCTGGCACTGTATTAACCTCAAAGCGGGCGAAGAAGGTGTTTAGCTTGTCCGGAAGCAAGAAGTCGGTGTCCGCGATGTGGCTGGTTTTCCTTTTGTAGTCCGTGATTGTCTGTAGACCCTGCCACATACGTCTCGTGTCTGAGCCGTTGAATTGTGACTCCACTTTGTCCCTATACTGACGTTTTGCCTGTTTGATTGCCTAGCGGAGGGAATAACTACACTGTTTGTATTCTGCCATATTCCCAGTCACCTTGCCATGGTTAAATGCGGTGGTTAGCACTTTTAGTTTTGCGCGAATGCTGCCATCTATCTACGGTTTCTGGTTAGGGTAGGTTTTAATAGTCACAGTGGGTACAACATCTCTTATACACTTCCTGATAAACTCAGTCACCGTATCAGTATATTCGTCAATATTATTCTCTTAAGCTACCCGGAACATATCCCAGTCCGTGTGATCAAAACAATCTTGAAGCGTCGATTCCGATTGGTCAGACCAGCATTGAATAGTCCTTAGCACGGGGACTTCCTGTTTGAGTTTCTGCCTATAGGAAGGGAGGAGCAAAATGGAGTCGTGGTCAGATTTGCCAAAGGGAGGGCGGGGGAGGGCCTTGTAGGCATCCTGGAAGTTGGAGTAGCAGTGGTCGAGTGTTTTAGCAGCGCGAGTACTACAGTCGATGTGTTGATAGAACTTCGGCAGCCTTGTCCTCAAATTTGCTTTGTTAAAATCCCCAGCTACAATAAATGCAGCCTGATATGTGGTTTCCAGTTTGCATAAAGTCCAGTGAAGTTCTTTGAGGGCCGTCGTGGTATCGGCTTGAGGGGGGATATACACGGCCGTGACTATAACCGAAGAAAATTATCTTGGGAGATAATACGGTCGGCATTTGATTGTGAGGTATTCTAGGTCGGGTGAACAAAA